GAGGAAAACTTGAAGTATGTCCCTGCAAAAGACTGACATTTAGAATAAGGGGAGAGAACTTGTCTTTCTTCCATTTTGAGAAAAGAAAAGAATTAATCCAGCAGAGAGAGTGGAAATTGAATGGAAGGGGAGAAGATGAAATGGGGAGAAAATGAAGAAAACTAGTGACATGAGGTGGATGTAAAGCAATGCAATAACTTTTAAGCGCACATCAAGCCAATATTTAAATTGGCGCTATCCTTCAAAACGACCTTGAGTGCTCAGATCTGTATTCCAGGGATGTTGTCACCGCTCAGACACCCCGGGCACTGCTCTGGGAGATTTTCTTGTCAGTAAACAGTATGGTTTTACAGTTAATATCATTTTATAAGAATGACAGACTATGACAATATTTCTATCACTTTGCCTGTTTGGTAATGGACAGAAGAAATACCATTCTATGGATCAATGTCTCCCTGTCATCAGCCTTCATGTATCTATGGCATATTCTTTGAGTCTTTGCAGAAGGACTACTGTGTGGGGCAGCAATCTGAGGGTAGCTCTCTGCTCTCAAGTGCTCAGGTCTAGATCTGCCTGCTCACAAGGACTGGGACACACCATTAAGACCAATGTCTTTCATATAAGGAGATCCCAACAGGACAGTGACCAGACACAAAGAAGGCACTGGTACCAGGCAGTCTCTAAGGAGGATTCCATGGTTGGAGAGCTGTCCAGGAATTGGGTGCTGATAAGCTGGAGCCAAGACCTGCCTGTGGACAGGTGGTGCAAGGTGCTAACGCCTGCCCAGGGTCAGGAGGAAGGGAGTTGTTGGTCTTTGTCTTTTACCTATTTTCTTTTTCTCATTCCCTTATTTATTTCCTTCCTCTACCTTCTCCCCCCACCCCCTATGATCTTTCATTTTCATTTTCTGGCAATCTGGGCAGCTATAGCTCACTCTTCCTAGGAGAAAGAGGGAAGACTGTGCCTCTTGGTTCTCCTCCATCAGAGACTTACCCTTATAAGGAGTCTACAGAACATTGATGACAGCAAATTCATAAGAACCCTCATTCCATCTTAGGGTTGGTTATTATTGCTAAATTGGGCATCCCAGCCTCTTCTGAGGCATTAGGTGGGGAGATGATTATTACTATCTATTACTAAGCATTTACTCTGGGCAGGCAGTTCCCCATGCACTTTCCTTCTCCAAGTCCCTAGGAGGTAGATGCTATTATTGCTCTTTTATAGAATATGGCTTGACTTGAAAGATCAGTGGTTGTGATATGCGCTATTTATTCAATATATTATCTGAGGCTACATAACTTAGGGACGAGAATGCACAACATGGGGAATAAAATTCATTGATATTTACTATATATACACGCTTTTGATAGTCATTACTTAGTCTCATAATAATCCTATGATGTTATCATACCAACCCATGTCATTATACTTATTTTATAGATGTAAACACTGAGGCTCAGAGAGGTTCAGTAATTGGCTGAGGAAACACAATTAGTAAGTGGCTGAGCCAGTTTTTAAACTTGGGATTTTCTGATTCTAAAGCCTATGATCTTTCATCCCCACTGCTTCTGTCATTTGATGGGCCAGTCTCATCTACAGTCTAGTTGGATTTTAGCAAGCGAAACCCTGTGCCTCACCCTCCAGCAGTTCCATTTGCCTCTGGGTCTTGATGCTTCCTATACCATCTCCAGCTCTGGGTTGAGGTGTGGGGGGAGCTTCCCACATCAAAGCATGCCAGTGGTGTGCAGGCTCCGAGAACGGGGGCACACGTGTGTTCTGTAATTGCACACTTATTCGGTCATGAGGCATCATCGAACCCAGCTGGCCTTTGTCTGAATCCCCACTGGAGAGTCTGGTCTCATCAATATTGGAAATGTCAATCTGATAAATAGCCCTAAACAGGGAGGAGGGAGGCTGAGAACAGCCTCCTTCCAACCGAACTCTAGTGCCTGGGAGTGAACAGAGTCAACATCTTACTTGCTGTAAATCCCCTGGAGTGGATGTGAAAGAGAGAGGGCTTGCTGGGTTGAGGAGAAAAAACTCCCTTTGGTTCATCTGAATTAATTTAGCATCCTCCAGTAGGGAAAGCTCTGGCATCCTCCTCCTGATCTCCACCCCCTGCACACAGCCCCCCAATCCTGAGGGAGCGCCCACACTGCCCCTTCCTTCACTTTAATTAAGCCCATTTGTCCTGGGGACACTGAGCCTGCGGATGTCCCAAGGCTTTGATGTCTAACCCACAGGCATGGAAGGGGTGGGAAGCCGGTGCTCAGTGAGGGCAATGGCTTCTTCCTCTGACAGCACAGCCTGAGGTCCGAGCTCTGGGAATAGCAGACTCTGTGATGTTTGGGTGGAGAATTGAGACCCAAATTTCTATTTACAAAGCTGTGTACCAACTGAAACCACCCTCTGCCTTTTCGTGAGCCCTTTGCTCTCGTTTTTTGATGGTAGATCTGCCAGGAGGGAAAGTTAAATATATTGTGGGAGTCTAATGCAGAGGCTGTTTGGGATTGTAGGGTTTGCTACTTAGCCTATTAAAGACGGCCTTTACCTTCCCAGATCCATTCACCTGGCCCCTCTATAGAGAACCCAACCCCCTTTTTGGTCTGGAACAGATCAGCACCAACCACTTGGGGTTCAACATGACGCACCAGAGTGTCATGTGAGCGGCTGTGCCAGGCCATCTGTACTCAAGCACGGCTTGCTCCAGGCTGACTGCAGGTGGCAGTCTGGTGCCATCCCAGCAAGACAAGTGACTGCTGAACTCAGCAGTTACTGCTCCATTTCAGAGCCACAGGGAATTAACAATCTTCTAGTACAGAGGTTCTCAACCTGTGGGTCGCGACCCCTTTGGGGGTCGAACGACCCTTTCACAGGGGTCGCCTAAGACCATCGGAAAACACATATTGAATATATAATTACATATTGTCTTTGTGATTAATCACTATGCTTTAATTATGTTCAATTTGTAACAATGAAAATACATCCTGCATGTCAGATATTTACATTACGATTCATAACAGTAGCAAAATGACAGTTATGAAGTAGCAACGAAAATAATTTTATGGTTGGGGGTCACCACAACATGAGGAACTGTATTAAAGGGTCGCGGCATTAGGAAGGTTGAGAACCACTGCGCCTAGGGGGTGTCGCTGTGCCAGACGGGAGCACAGGCCTCCCCCAGCAGGCCAGCCCCCGGGTGCAGATCCCAGGGGTGTCACCTGCATCAGCCTCCCCTGTCCAGGGCCTCTGCCCCCGCCCAGCTGTTCGTCTCCTCCTGTCTGCAGCAGCAAGGACAGAAGAAATGCCAAGGGTCAGCGAATTACCTTGCATGGTCACGTCCCCAGGGGGCCCCCGGGTACTCACCGTGCTGGCGATGAATTCTGGCGGGTTGTCATTCACGTCTGTCACCGCGATGATGGCTGTGGCTGTGTTCGAGAGGCCATAGTTGAGGTTTCCCTCCATGTCTGTGGCCTGAACAATGACTGTGTACTGCTGAACTTTCTAGAAGGAACGAGGTGGGGAAGAGCAGGGCGTCAGTTGGGTTTTAGTTTACAGGCTGCTTATACTTTTCATGAAAGGAGCGTGCTCTTAGGCGGAGCTCGCAGCAGCTGGGCCTCAGGCCCGCACGAGGCATGCTGGCCGCATGGCTCTCCCCAAACTCTCAGCACAAGACCTGGTGGAAGGACGTTCTCTGGGAAACCGCGCAGCACGAGAGCCGGCTGCACGCCATCCCAGTGGCTCTGGCTGTTGTAAGTACAGATCATAATTGGTGCCAAGATTGAGCGGGGCCACTGGGTACTGCACTGGGCTGCAAAGCCAGGGACGGGCAATTTGCAAAGAGAGCGCCACTCCCAGACACGTGTCTGGAAGGACTCGTGGCTGCAGCATTTTCAGTGTCCAGCTCAGCTGCAGGTTAGATGTTCAAACAAGAGACAAGCCCTCTCCGCTCTTTGCAGATGCGTCGATACAAGCGCACTGTCTGAACAGAGTCCAGAGGAGCGCTGAGCATCCAGGCGCATGCAGGTGTGAGCTTCCACAGGCGGGCAAAACTTGACGGGAAGCGTGAATTCCATCAGGCACCTGGCCTTGTCCGCCTGGCACTCGCCGAGGCCACTGGTGCAGACACCCCTGAGCAGCACAAGTAGCCTTTTCTATGTCCCTATTCTGAGCTTCTGAATGTGACAGGCGAGGCTTGGTGGCAGCTCTCTGCGGGGACTGCAGCCCACATCTCACTGGCACCGTTAGGGGAGGAAGGATTCGGGGGCCCAAGGCAGAAAGGGACCTTAGGAAACGTCTTCCAAGTGATAAACTTGGAATTGAGAGCTAAGTAAATAGAAACCAATGGACATTGTTTTGGTTGCTGAACTTTGAGATGTTCTGTTATGCTGCAGTGCTCACTGGCTCACTTTCTATGAATTTGTTCCCTAGGCATATGAAAGGAAAATATAACTAATAATTCTAAGAAAGTTTAAGTGCAGCCATGCCCAGAGGCAGTGTATACTATAAACAAGCTCTCTGGTCTTTGTGTTTAAAGTAACAGAGGTTGTATGTTTGATAGAAACAATCTATAAACACTTAAAAGTTAGGACAACTACAGCATAGCATTGCCCCACATATTCCTGTTCACATCCTGTAATAACAAATGGTTATTGTGGAAAGCAAGGTAAACTGTGTCCTGTGCAAGCTGGAGTTCTCATCAACGACGCTCTCACCCCAGAGATTCTGATTTAATTGGCCTCAGGCAGGTCCTGGGCCTCAGCAGTTTTTCAAATCTCTTTCCCTCAGAGAAACTTGGTACTCTCTGTAAGCCTGCAGTAAGTATGCACGCTCGCGCATGTGTGTGTGTGTGCATGTGTGTGTTTGTACACATTTGTGTGTACACATGTATGTGCACATCTGGATATGTGTCTTGGGGAGAGAGGATGGGGGAGGGAAGTCATGACCCCTCTGCATTTTGGCTGAGGGAAAAGGAGCGACAGGGATGGGAAGAGGCCCACCTGTCAGTCACGTCAAGAAGAGGCAGCACCGTCCACTGCCACAGGCTCAGGCCTTCATTTGTGGCAACATGCCAGACCATCCTGCTCTGCTCCTTCCCGGTTCTGTTCTCCACCAGCACCAAGGAGACGTTTCCCCGCAAGACTCCCTGGATGAGCCAGGACATTCGGAGCTGCAAGGGAGAGAAGAGCCAGAGGACACGGTGTTAAAGGAACTTCAGGGCCTCTTTCTGAAACTCTCAACCCTAAGGATGTTGCGGAGACTCAGTGAGGTGAGTTGATGCCCTGTACTTGATCTTGCTCACTCTCTCCCAAAGGCCTTTACTTAAGGTTCAAGGAGCTGGCCAGGGGCAATCAATGGGCCATTTTGGAACTTTGTTCAGATTGATGTCATCATCCTAAATTCACAAGATTCTTCCTCTGAGGTGATATCAAGGCCAATAGGGACAAGGTCAATGGACTTCCTAAAGAGGATCCACACATTCTTGTCTGTGGCCCTAATTCACTTCATGACCTTGGGCTAGTAATTTTGTGACTCAACTTCTTTCAGTGATGTGGGTACCATAGATTTTTATTTATCCCCTGCACACACTGATAATCTTATTTAAAGGGGTCTATGTCATGTGTTAGCTAACTGAAGACCCTATGACTTAATACCTGTGGCCATTGGTAGGCAAAGGTGAGTCAAAACTCTACAAATTAAGATCTTTTAAAATGGTTGTCTTTCAGAATGAGAATGTCCACTTTGCCAAAAGGAAGCCACAATCATATGTAGTCAGTATGCATTTATTAAAGATTTCTATGAATTTGTTCCCTAGGCATATGAAAGGAAAATATAACTAATAATTCTAAGAAAGTTTAAGTGCAGCCATGCCCAGAGGCAGTGTATACTATAAACAAGCTCTCTGGTCTTTGTGTTTAAAGTAACAGAGGTTGTATGTTTGATAGAAACAATCTATAAACACTTAAAAGTTAGGACAACTACAGCATAGCATTGCCCCACATATTCCTGTTCACATCCTGTAATAACAAATGGTTATTGTGGAAAGCAAGGTAAACTGTGTCCTGTGCAAGCTGTAGTTCTCATCAACGATGCTTTCACCCCAGAGATTCTGATTTAATGGCCTCAGGCAGGTCCTGGGCCTCAGCAGTTTTTCGAATCTCTCCAGGTGACTCTAAAGTGCAGCCTCAGTTGAGACCACTGGGGAGACGGGACCACTTAGTGCAGGAAGTAGCCTGGCCTTCTCAGTGAGGAGCCCATTTTCATCCTGGACTTGGAGTAAGAGGCAATTCTTAATAACTAAAAAAAATGGCTTAAAATGTGCCCACCATTGCCAAGGTATAAAAGGAGTGTTTTTCCTGTAGGGGAGGACAGGACCTTCATCAGAAGGCCTGCAGGTGGCTGCTGCATCACCTCTGGTTAAAGAATGAGAACAACCCTGAGAGTGAGAAATCCTTGGGCTGGGTGAGCAGGGCTGACCTGAGAATGCAAACGGGACCTGAACTCTCCTCTTGGACCCACAGTGGATGGCTCTCACCAGTTTCTTAATTAGAAGAACTGGAGGACTGATGTCAATTCTTGCCGAATATCCCTTATGAGTTACTTATGTCTAAATGAATAGAGCAACTATCTGTGGTTCCCAGAGCAGATCACAGGCTCCAGTCCCTCTCAAAGTCTTCCATTTTCCTAGGTTAAAGAATCCCTTTGATATCATTATGTGTAGAAACCCATGCCAGGTAGACCTGGGTCACTGTTCGGTGCCTAGAACAAAAACACTCTTGGAATTTGATCTTAATAAGACCAATTTCTATCAGGGTGGCCTATAGGATAAAATAATTACATGTTTATTGAATACTAGAGAGCTGTGCTAGGCACTTGTATATACGCTGTCTCATTTTATACTCGCAATAAGTAGAGAGAGGTATTATCATATCCATTTTTCAGATATGGAAACTGAAGCTTCAACAGGCGAGTGCGTCACCCATGGCCACTAAGTCCATATGCTGCAGACCTGAATATCAGACTGTGTTCTATGTTCTCTCTACCATATCTGTTTTGATGTATACATATGACATATTGCGGTGATATGCACTTAAATCTTTTGGGTGAACTGTGAAGGTTTTCTCGACCCTTGTTGCTTAAAGTGTGGTCTGGGGACCAGCAGTGCTGCATGACCTGGGAGCTTCTTAGAAATTCCAGCTCTCAGGCCCTACCTGCTCAATCGGTAGGTCTTTAACAAGACCTTCTCCCAGAAATGCCCTCATATTGGGGGAACTAGGGAGATAGTGGATTTTAAACCATGTATAACCACTGCCTCTGCCACACAATAGTCATATATGTGAATGTGTGTATGTGTATGTGTATATATACATAAAACAAGAGTATTCACACAAATATGGGAAATCTTATACAAATGCTAAATAATATTTATGAGAAATAACACTCGTGGGGGCCTGTAACAGTAAAATTTTTGATCCTTCTACACGCCCTAATAGATATGTTATAAATGGCAGCTTTGGACTAATAAACTCTTTTATATGCAGACAGCAAATGAGACAAGTGGAAAGAGACAAGGCCAGGAGCACGCCCCCAGCAATTCTATCTCTGGCTCCAGCCAGCCCTTTCACCAGGCCTCTGCTCCCTCCCTCTTGGTGGGTCTGATAGACTTTCCAATTATGTGCCACCAGTGTTTGTCGCTTCATTAATTAAAGTTCTGCATGTAAAGCAGAGCTGCATTGTGGCTGGGCCTAATGCAATTATTCTCTCATGGCCCTTCCTCCCCCAGAGGCAATTATGGCAATTTTATGTCTAGAACATGCCTCGTGCTTGCTACGCATACCTTGTGGCAACTTCACAACAACCTCTTGAGCCCATAAATAAACATATCAGCATGGAATTTAGGCTGAAGTTGGACAAAAGAGAATCAAAGGTATCAGGTAATGTCCACTGTGCATGCAACCCCAAATGTAGGAAATGCTACAAGGGGGGAGGTGCTATCTTTCTGTGAATTTCTGAAGGGCTGCATGAATTTCCACAGTCGAATCAAAACCACGGATAGATTCTAGTGTGTATTTCACTTCCACAAAAGGGAACATTTCTTAACAGACAGAGATGCTCAAAGATGTGCCTGCTTGAGGCGGATGGTGGATATTGCCTGGATATCCCCCACATGTAATGACTGGGATTGGGTTGTTGTCAGGGACCTCCAAGCTCTTGAATGGAGGTTCAAAAGCCTTCCCCACCTGAGATGCCACAGGTCTGTGTTCCTGGGTGTGAACTTGTAATTTTAAAAGTTCCTTGATTTCAACATGGCCCCTTATTAACTTCACTGAGAGGACTGACTCACTGCAAAACCTGTGTTCTTGTACACCACCTCCTAATTCACCTGGAAAAAATGAACACTAACTCTCTGGCTATAAATAGCCGAACGAAAAATCAACCCAACACAGCAAGAAGCAGGCCAGATGCGGAGTTTTGATAATGAGCAAATTAAATATGCTGGCAAATACTTGCAATTACAGAGGCTTAAGAAATGCTGGATTCCTGGCCAGGTAGGAGACTTAACAGACAGATCCTTTTGAAAACAGCATCCCATGCCTCCTTGTCTCTGAGGCATCACATTGAAGCCAGAGAACACCCAGGCAGGGACATCCACATGCCCGCTTCGTAAAAGCACAGCAAGAGAATGTGAAGGCTTTGTATAAAAATAATAACCGTGGGATCCCTGGCTGGTGAGGTTATGGTGTTACAGCTATGTTTTTCCCTTTTGGTTTTTTTGAAATTTTTTATAATGAACATATATTATTTTTGACAACTAGAACAAAAACAATACAATAAATTTAGGGCACACCGCTATTAAAAGCATGTTTATGAAGAATAATACTGATATAGAAAAAAGATAACATGAAGAAAGAAGACACAAAAGGTTTATGTGGTGTGATAGTGCACATAGAAGCCTTTATCCCTCACTCTGCTCAGACCTGCATTTTTTTTCCTGGAAGGAAATGTACCAATGTGGTAACAGAGGTTGTCTTTGGGGAGTAAGACTGTGGGCAATTTCAATTTTCTTCTTCATTCTTTCCTGTATTTTCCTAATGTTCTATAATAAAAATAGAGCACTTTTGTAATCAGAAAAAAAAACACAATAAACACTATATTAAAAAAAAAGCAGCAAGGGAGGAATGCGAGGTTGTTGGAAAGTGGGAAAAGAGAGGGTGTCAACTGCCCACTTCAGGGAGGCTGGGGTTTTCGGCCTGAACTGAGGGCTTTCAAGGAAGAACAAAGGAAGGCGGAGCCTCGGGGGAGTGTTTATTATTTGACAGCTGGGAAGAGTCTGTTTTCAACAGGGTCCCTCCGTATCTGGGCCACCTGCGTATGTTATCCCAGTCACCAGTGGGAGCCACGAGGGTCCACATTAACACGCGGGTTTCGAAGGGGATCCAAAACTCTGCCAAGCGCCCGAGGGTTTTATTCACACCCAGAGCCCTGACAGTAATTCTTCATTTGTCTCATCATTTGTCTTGGGGGAATGAGGTAGGGTCATGCTGAGGACAGAGCGGGGGCTTTGAAATCAGAAAAAGCGGTCCTGTTGTCATATATGGGCCTCAGCTTTCATCTGTAAAATGGGGCCAATCCTACTCTCCTTATAGATTTACTGGGAGACTTTACTGAGATTATGGGAGCCCACTGCTCAGCATAGCCAATACTTTTGCTCAATGTCAGTTCCTTTCTCCTGTATTGGAAAGAACAGGCAGGGAATCCCATGTTAGAGATAACAGCTCACACACACACAATAAGGCCGGGTGAAGGAGACTGTGTTCAACATTTTAGTCCAGTGTTTTATCTTCCAGGTTCGCCAGAAAATGATCTTTCCAGTCTTATGGGAAGAAAAAGATGATATGTTCCTTTGAGTTGCATTGTAATGGTGTGACCTTGGGCTACCAGCCTCCCCTGTGCCTCAGTTTCTCCGTGTGTGATGGGGCCGATGCTGTGAAGTAGCCTTGTAATCCCCTGGCTGGGAAACTATTTTCCAGACAGCCATGGGGAAGAGAGGGGACTCCAGGCCCAGGAGTGTCTGCAGACACAGACATTGGGGAGTGTTTATTATTTGACAGCTGCGGAGAGTCTGTGTTGTCAACAGGGTCCCCCGTATCTGGGCCACCTGCATATATG